CAGTAGAAGAAATATGCAGTTTGAGAGCTGAAACATGATTAGATTATTTTAATTGATTGGCAGCCCTAGTAATTTGTATTTTATTCCTGAATGTGACATGACTATTTCCTGAATTTAGAGGAAGATGTGCAAAAGTTATTTATATTTGGTCTTATATTAGCCTCTTATATTAGATTATTTGAGAAGTTGTGGGCACATATTTCTTCACTTTTAATAACATACTGTCCTCTCTAGGATGTGGCTCATTTGGAGGTGCCGTTACCAGACATGATGATGCTGTGTAGAGAGGCAATTTACTTGTCTTTACGAAGATAAGTTACCAATGCACTAGGCTGCTCACAGGCACCAATCTTCTTTATCTTCCAGTTCGTCAGGCTCATGTCAGGTGCATCCCAGATTCTGTCAGTCTTCCCTCATTTGTGGGAATGAATAGACCTCCTTTATCTCTGTTATTGTCTCTCCAGCTTAGGATTCCAGGACAACAGCAGTGCCAGTGTTTGTCAGTGCCCTGTTTTCATTATCACTACTATTATGTACAGTATGCATTTCATGGACATATTATACAGAAATAATTAAGCAACTTGTCAGCATATTATTACTAATAGTTTAGTTGCATATCTGAGTTTTTCTTCTGAAAATATGAATATGTAATCAAATTTACAGCCTTTACAAAACATATTGTGACAGTACCATGGTGTAATCATGATTATCATATTATTAGATGGTGAAACGGTACTTTGGTAGTATGATATTCACACAGAAATACCCTGATGCTTCTGTGGTATTAACTACAAAGCCATGGTATTACCATTAAAAACTCTGGTAGTTCATTGTATACTGACTATTTACCATATTCATGTACCATAGTACTTACATACTGTACAAAAATTACTTTGACAGTAGTATGGTACAGTGATGGAAATATCATTGTACTCTTCATGATTTGTTTTAGTGTGTACTTCATGGTGTTTAGATGATACTCCAGAGTTCTTCCAAGAAAATCATGGTACTACCATGGTAAATATTAAGTAGTACCATGTTAGTACCATGGTACTTTTTGTGTGCTGATAGGTGGTGATATTTCAGTGAATATTATGTCTATAAAACATGGTATTACCATGGTTCTTTTATGTATGTCATGTTACTCAATCATTTATTTACTATGGCATTTACACAACACTCCAAGGTACTGTATTTCAGATAATACCAGGGCACTACCATGGTACATTATTTTTTACAAATATATCTAATTAATAACGCTGTTGATAAAGAAGTGCCATTCCTTTTAGAATAATTTCTAGGAATTGCTGTGGAATCATTAGCTGCATTCCAACCCATCAATCAGTCATATCTCAGTGTCTTTCCTGGCAGCGTCTTCTAAAGTGCCATTCCTAAAAGAAGAAAAATGGCAAAGCTTTCTGCTTTGACCTTCAGCTGCCTTCTAGAGAGTTGACTTCAACACAAGGCCACCAGCCAGTTTGAACTGTGTTATTAATTAGTAGCTGGTCTATAGCACTGGGAATTGCGGTGCTGTTGTCATCCAGGGACATGACGAACTGATTAAGCGGGAAGGAGCTGCTTTGTTTGCCAGACCAACACAATGGCTATCTAGTGAAAATTAAATTAGCGTCATGACAATGGTAAACAAACTACCGCATGCCACTGGCATAATAGCATATGTTGAGAGATCGAAGTATTAAGACTTTCATCTTCACTTATGCTCACTTGTGCTTTCAACCCGAGTGCAGTTTTGACACGGGAGCTGCAACTCTCAAATGACAATTGTGTAATTAGTGCAGACACACTGTGTGAAAAATGACGAGCTTTGAAAGACTGTGCTATAGTGTCACTCTCAATGCAGACCAATTACCAGCCTCAGAATAAAGCAAGAGAGACGTCTAAAGGTGGGTGTCCTGCTGAGGCTCTGGGCTCCGCTCGCACCCCTTGCATCCCCCCATGTCAGTCCTTTGTGAGCGTCTGAATGCTGGGCATGGTAAATATTAAGTAGTACCATGTTAGTACCATGGTACTTTTTGTGTGCTGATAGGTGGTGATATTTCAGTGAATATTATGTCTATAAAACATGGTATTACCATGGTTCTTTTATGTATGTCATGTTACTCAATCATTTATTTACTATGGCATTTACACAACACTCCAAGGTACTGTATTTCAGATAATACCAGGGCACTACCATGGTACATTATTTTTTACAAATATATCTAATTAATAACGCTGTTGATAAAGAAGTGCCATTCCTTTTAGAATAATTTCTAGGAATTGCTGTGGAATCATTAGCTGCATCCCAACCCATCAATCAGTCATATCTGTGTCTTTCCTGGCAGCGTCTTCTAAAGTGCCATTCCTAAAAGAAGAAAAATGGCAAAGCTTTCTGCTTTGACCTTCAGCTGCCTTCTAGAGAGTTGACTTCAACACAAGGACACCAGCCAGTTTGAACTGTGTTATTAATTAGTAGCTGGTCTATAGCACTGGGAATTGCGGTGCTGTTGTCATCCAGGGACATGACGAACTGATTAAGCGGGAAGGAGCTGCTTTGTTTGCCAGACCAACACAATGGCTATCTAGTGAAAATTAAATTAGCGTCATGACAATGGTAAACAAACTACCGCATGCCACTGGCATAATAGCATATGTTGAGAGATCGAAGTATTAAGACTTTCATCTTCACTTATGCTCACTTGTGCTTTCAACCCGAGTGCAGTTTTGACACGGGAGCTGCAGCTTTCAAATAATAATTGTGTAATTAGTGCAGACACATTGTGTGAAAGATGACATGAGCTTTGAAAAACTGTGCTATAGTGTCATTCTCAATGCTGACCAATTACCAGCCTCAGAATAAAGCAAGAGAGACGTCTAAAGGTGGGTGTCCTGCTGAGGCTCTGGGCTCCGCTCGCACCCCTTGCATCCCCCCATGTCAGTCCTTTGTGAGCGTCTGAATGCTGGGAACAAGAGGTTGGCCGATTGATGTGGATTAGTGTACTCACTGTGCACCTGTGTCCCTGACAGAACTCCATGAAAGTGATGTTCAAGTGTCTGTGGAAGAACTGTGGGAAGGTCTTGAGCACAGCCGCCGGGATCCAGAGGCACATTCGCACCGTCCATCTGGGGTAAGGCACCTGTGGTATCATTAAAAAATATGTTATTCACTAACCACCCACAATACATTTTAACCAGGCATTAATGTAATCTAATGCACTGCGCCATATTTAAATAAAGTCATAGTCATTATTTTCAGTTCAAATACGCCTTCTTTTTATGTCAGTTAGGCTTATTATAGATTGTGCCTTATTTGCCTTGTGCATTAGTGAAAGTGAAGTGTGGAATTTGTGCTCTGCATTTAACCCATCGAAGTGCACAAATACAGTGAACACACACACCGTGAACACACACCCGGAGCAGTGGGCAGCCATATTGCTGTAGCGCCCGGGGAGCAGTTGGGGTTTCGATGCCTTGCTCAAGGGTCTCAACTCAGTCGTGGTATTGAGGGTGGAAGAGAGCGCTGGTCATTCACTCCCCCCACTGACAATTCCTGTCGGACCTGAGACTCGAACCCGCAACCCTCGGTTTACAAGTCCGAATCTCTAACCATTAGGCCACGACTGCCCAGACACTAGGGCTCCCCGTCGGGGGTCTTCCGCGTGACAGGCGGAGATACTGTCCACTATACTAACGAGGAGTTGGTTAAGGCAAATACAAACCGTTAAGGAGAGCGGTGTTTGTTACACTACTGTTCAAATGTTTGGGGTCAGTATTATTATTTTTTTCAGCAAAGACGCATTACATTGATCAAAAGTATCAGAGACATTAATAATTAACAAAAAAAAAGGTTTATTATATTAAATAAATGCTTTTCTATTCATCAAAGAATTCTGAAAAAAAAGGATTGTGGTTTCCACAAAAATATGAAGCAGCACAACTGTTTTCAATAATATAAAATGTTTCTTGAGCACCAAATCAGCATATTAGAATGATTTCTGAAGGATTATGTGACACTGAAGACTGTAGCAATGATGCTGAAAATTCAGATTTGCATCACAGGAATAAATAGCATTTTAAAATGTATTATAATAGAAAAGAGTTAATGTATTTTAAATTGTAATAATATTTTACAATATTAGTGTTTTTTCTGCATTTTTGATCAAATAAATGCAGCCTAGGTGAGCATAATAGACTTTTTCCAGAAACATTTGAAAAATCTTACCAACCCCAAACTGTTGAATGGTAGTGTATACAGGTGCATCTCAATAAATTAGAATGTCGTGGAAAAGTTCATTTATTTCAGTAATTCAACTCAAATTGTGAAACTCGTGTATTAAATAAATTCAATGCACACAGACTGAAGTAGTTTAAGTCTTTGGGATTTCTGAAGGATTATGTGACACTGAAGACTGTAGCAATGATGCTGAAAATTCAGATTTGCATCACAGGAATAAATAGCATTTTAAAATGTATTATAATAGAAAAGAGTTAATGTATTTTAAATTGTAATAATATTTTACAATATTAGTGTTTTTTCTGCATTTTTGATCAAATAAATGCAGCCTAGGTGAGCATAATAGACTTTTTCCAGAAACATTTGAAAAATCTTACCAACCCCAAACTGTTGAATGGTAGTGTATACAGGTGCATCTCAATAAATTAGAATGTCGTGGAAAAGTTAAATCCATAAAGTGTGGGAAAATTGTTAAATTCTGGCATATTTTTATAATGTTCAGTGCATTTCCTTTGTATCCGCACTGATAATTTTATAGTCCTGCTTGCACCACAAAATAAACCCAGTATATCAGCTTGTACATGCAAAAAAAAAAAGACTTCTTTAAGATTTACATTTATTACTAAAAAAACTTTTCCAAAGTATGTTTCACATTAGACAGAAACCCATTCACATTTTTATGGTGTTCCACCATCTCTTGGCTGACATCCATCACAGTGAACTCTGGATAGCCTATAGTGAGAGATAAGAGACTGCAGCCTGCTCCTGATTCAGTGTCAGAACATGAGACTAATTCCAGCAGGATTATCACCACACTTACACTATTACTGCTGGCCACAAAGTAATGACTGCAAAGGCCAGATGATTGTGAAGGAAGGTTTATGTTTTTTTCGGCTGAAGTCTAATTAAACCGCACAAGTGTCAGTACTGCTGGAAGATACGGGAGGATTTCTAAGAAGATTTCATCTTTCAGAAATATGGTTCAGCAGAAGGACATGAGAAACAAACAGTTATGCATTATGTAACTGTTGAAACATTCAACATATCAAGTATTGGCACAACACCGTACCTTATGCTTCATCATACCCTACTGCTATACTATACTACACTACACTAATATACTATACTATACTGTAATAGAATACTACACTGTCATTAATAAGTTTGAGGTCAGTTAATACTTTTGTTCAATAAAAGTGACTGTAAAGACATTTAATGTTACAAAAGATTTCTATTTCAAACAAATGCTCTTCTTTTGAACTTTCTATTCATCAAAGAATACTTAGAAATGTATCACCGTTTCAAAATATTAAAGGGGTGGTTCAGTGTTTTTTTTTCTAGGCTTGATTGTGTTTATGGGGTGTAGTCTAACGTGTTAATGCTTCGTTTTTTAAAAATCGCATTTTTCACATAATTTACCTTTATTCCACACCGCTCTGTCCCTTCTCTGAGAAACGGGCTGATCTTTTCCTTCTTTTATGAAGCCCCTCCCTCAGAAATAGGCGATGGGCTCTGATTGGTTAGCTAGCCCAGTGTGTTGTGATTGGCTAAACCGCCTCTAGTGCGCGTCTAAACATCCCGCCCTTCACCTCAGCGGCATGTGCTCCGGTTGTATTGTAAACAACGGCATCATTAATATCACTTATCAGTTTGAGCCCGATTGAGAAGCAGATTATATTATTGAAGAGGATCGTGCAGAACCTGTGCAAGCACGGCTTTTTGCCATAATTTTAAAGGACGATATCTCCGTTTGCATTGAACTTTCAGCTTTGTAACTTTGCAGATATTGTTTATGCTCAAACAGCAACATTACACACGAACTAACGTTAAAAAAGTGAAATCGCAATGAACCACCCCTTTAAACAGCACAGCTGTTTTAAACATTGATAATAATAATAATAAATGTTTCTTGATCAGTAAATCAGCATCATAGAATGATTTCTGAAGGATCATGTGAAAATTTAGCTTTGCCATCAAAGAAATGTTACATTTTACAATATATTTAAATAGAAAACAATATTGCTGTTTTTACTGTATATTTTACTGCCATAGACTATATTACACTGTACCATACAACACTATACTAACTTTACCATTCTATACTCCACTACACTATGTAATGTAACATACTATATTACACTGTACAACACTACACAATAAAATACCATGCCATATTATGCTATACTGTAGGACCATTAAGTTCACCATAAATGTTTAGTATGGTATGTGAACTTAATATTGTAAAAAAATTTTACTATGGTAGTGTCAAAATTGAGTTATGAAATCAGTCTCAGACTATGATCTGTCCTGTCCCGTTATTTCAAATGTAGACGTGCGGCAGGCGCGCTCATGATGGAAGCGACGCGGTCGCGACGCGCACGCGGTGCAATGCGCTCATTTTTTCCAGGCGCGACCGCGCCGCATCGAGATAAACACATTTCAACTTTTCAGAATGCCGCAAGCGCACCGCGGGTCATGTGACAAGAACCAACCAATCAGCTTCATCCTTTCCCGTAACAACATTGAAAGCTCAGCCAAGATGAAGGGGACAACTGATCATAGCTGTACAGGGATAGCCATTTTTAAATAAATTTAGTTAGTAGAGCTACTGCAAGCGATTTTTAGTGCTGCAAATCCATTTACACTTTGCTGAAACTTCCGCGTCTTCATGAAGTGCGCAGGTCATTTTTAAAATTTATTTTAAATCATTTTTCTCAATTTTGTGTTGAAATACTGTGATTTGCCTTTATGACTGTACAGTATGTAAAATATAGTGCTGTATTATTATAGTGCAGAACTTTAAATAAGTTATGTTAGTGGTGCACATTAATTGAAAGCAAATCACAGTGTCAATATTAAAATATTTAAATGGTTTGTCTCTTTTCAGGAGGAACTGTGACTCAGAGTGCAGTGACGGAGAGGAGGATTTCTACTACACTGAGATTAAGCTGAACACAGACTCTGTGGCGGACGGTTTGAGCAGTCTGTCTCCTGTGTCCCCGTCTGTGCTGTCCCCCCCGCCAGGTTTGGACCAGAAACAGCCGGATGGCACTAACGGAGCAAAGAGCGAGAACAGTACCACCACCCCTCTTAGCCGCTCTGCTCCCAGCGCACTCTACCTAGTGCACACAGACCACGCCTACCAGGTACAGCCCATCCAATCACGATGAGCTACGCACATTTACATAACATTACATCACTCGAGAGATCTACGCACATTTACATAACATTACATCACTCGAGAGATTCACTCTGATGCTCTCAGAACACAACCACTAGACAAATACAATATGGATATGACCGAGTATTTGTATGCAATTAGAGAAAGCAAGCAGAACATTTAATATCAGATAGCCCTCTCAATATGAAGACAGGTCAAGCTGTGCATAAAGATGCCCCTCGATCACAATATAGAGCATGAAAAGGTCACACTTGAGGAGAATTATGAGAAATCGCATGTTCCTTTTAATGGGATCATATATACTACCATTCAAAAGTTTGGGGTTGGTAGGATTTTTTTATGTTTTTGAAATAAGTGTCTTATGCTTACCAAGGCTGCATTTATTTGATCAAAAATACAGCAGAAACAGTCAAATTGTGAAATATTCCAATTAAAAAAATGTTTTCAATTTTAATATATTTTAAAATGTAATTTATTGACATTCCTGTGACGCAAAGCTGAATTTTCAGCATCATTACTCCAGTCTTCAGTGTCACATGAACCTTCAGAAATCATTCTAATATGCTGATTTGCTGCTCAAGAAACATTTCTTCTTATTATTAATGTTTAAAACAGTTGTTGCTTAAAATTTCTGTGGAAACCATGACATATTTTTTTCTTAATTCTTTGATGAACAGCAATTATTTGAAATAGAAATCTTTTGTAACATTATGAATGTCTTTACTGTTATATTTGATAAACTTAATGCATCCTTGATAAATAATTGAACGGTTGTGTACGACTTTTAAGACCTGTACAAATAAAAGTAATACCATATATTAGGGCTGGGTTTTGACACAAATTTTGTGATTCGATTCGATTACCAATTTGATTCGATTCGATTCAATATCGATTATTTTGGATAAATATCAGGTACAGTACATGCCAAATTTTCTCAAGGAAAAAAAATCTCTCAACTAATGCTGTAAAATATTCATGGGAGTCAGTTGGTTAAAACTGACTGATTTGTAGGCTAATATACAACTGCTAAAATTACGTTATAGTGACGTCTTTGCGCGGCTGAAACACTGATTGAGTGATTACATGAGACAGGATACGGATTGTAAAGTTGCACCTTTTATTTTAACTTCCCTTCGGATGTTTAGTCATGATTATTTTGTGCTGAAACTGGTATTACATATATACAGTTCAGTTACAGGTTTTCACACAAGAAAAAAGTTTTCAGTACACATTTTGGCCTTTAAACCATTTTTAAGGAATGGTATGAGTCAAAAGTATCAATTAGCCTATTACATTAATTTAAACAATTGTTACCAATCAATTATTATATGAATTTAATAACATATAAATATATATTGATTTCTTAATTGTTTCGATTTTTAAAACGCATTAGCATTAGCTTCTTGTCGATCAACCGGTTCACATTTACAATGTTTGCTGCGTAAAAATATGGGTCGATTTTCGCAATGGTCTGCACAAAAACATAAAGGGCTTATTGAAAATGTAGATTCATCCTCTGCCAGCAGGAGGCGCTTTTGGAGCGGCAGAATGTAGCAGTTTCCACGGTAATGGCAGAACAGCACAGCACCTGACTCTGAAGCCTGCAGCGCTCATATTTATTCAATGAAATCACAGCCTTTTGAAGTTTAATCTTCACATTAAGCTATATTGCAATTCTTGTCTTTCCGTCCCCAAATTTAAGCCCTCTTGAAATAATAATGAAGGCTTTGTTGTACCATTTAAGACTTTTATGGCCTTAAATTTGATTTAACTGAATTTAAGATGTTGGTGGGATCAAATTGCATGATATTAGGAGAGTTCAGCTGGACAGTAAGAAAATCACAGTGTCTGAGTTTTCAGTCATTTTTTGAGTCTTCGTGCGCCAATTATTATTTGTTGCGTAGTGAATGGTATGTTCAAGTAAGCTAGGTATGCACAGATGCTGCGCAATTAGGCTGTATTTAATAAATCATGATGACTCACGAGTTCAGTATTTGCGCTAAATCTGCGCAGATTTGGCTTACATTAACTTCCCCAACAATTTAATGAGTGAAGAAAAGTAACCCGCCAAATTGGCTTTAGTGATTTGACAACGTCACCCGCCATAGCTGATTTTGACCTGCATTTGGCAGGTGTTAATTTCAATCCCTGAATATAATATAATGTAATGTAATGTAATGTAATGTAATATAATATAATAAAGGAAAGTCAATTTTTTAAATATTAGATGCTGTCAAAATGGTTATTATATATATGCAGCCCAATCATAATCGCGGGCCCATAGAGACTACAGTATATCAGTGTGACTGTCACTCCACAGGCCACAGCCCCTGTCACCATCCCCTCCACCAGCTCCACTGGCTTCACACCCTCCAGCAGCAGTTTCAGTATCTCCTGGCA